TGCCAGGTTGCGGTAAGCAAAGCTAGTAGAGTCCTGTCCTGCATCAAGAAGGGGATGTATTGCAGGGATAAGTCTATAATTTTGCCACTTTACACATCACTGGTTCGGCCTCACCTGGAGTATGCGGTGCAGTTTTGGGCACCGGTACACAGAGGGGATGTCCTTGAACTGGAGAAAGTCCAGCGGAGGGCGACCAAACTCATCAAGGGGATGGAGGACCAGAGCTACGAGACAAGGGGAAGGGGATGGAGGACCAGAGCTATGAGACAAGGGGGAGGGGATGGAGGACCAGAGCTACGAGACAAGGGGGAGGGGATGGAGGACCAGAGCTATGAGACACGGTTACTAAATTTAAACATGTTTACGTTGGAACTAAGGAGATTAAGGGGGGGACATGATTTCCATGTACAAAATGTTCCATAGTCACAGCAACATTAGCAACAAACTCTTTAAGATTAATTCCGTAACAAAGACTAGAGGACACCACCTGAAACTGGTAGAAAAAAAATTTGAACACAAGGGGCGAAGGGGGTTCTTCTCAGTTTGCGCGGTTAGGGTCTGGAACTCGCTGCCTCAAGCAGTGATTTCAGCTAATAGTGTGGAATCATTCAAGAAGCTTTTGGACGACTTCCTGAGAGACCGAAATGTACAAGGGTACAGGTACTCTTAAGAATGAGAACACTCATGGACCTATACACACACACACACACCAGGTTGGACTTGATGGACTTATGTCTTTATTCAACCTCAAATACTATGTAACTATGTTACTTCATTCGTCAGATGGAGCCCTTGGAAATACCTGCCACTTCTGGGTATGATGGGGCAGGTGACCTTCTCCCCTATGTCCCAGGGTGTAGTTCTCAGGAGCTTACTCAGGGGTTAGATGCAGGGTCCTAGTGGTGGAACAGAGTGACTTCATTCGTCAGATGGAGCCCTTGGAAATACCTGCCACTTCTGGGTATGATGGGGCAGGTGACCTTCTCCCCTATGTCCCAGGGGG